CACAAATTTACAGCAGAAATATAAAAACAAAACACAGAGAAGTGTCAGGTGTCATGCTCAGCTCTGACTAGAAGGCCAGAGAGAAAAAGTGTGTCTTCAGTGAAGATTTCAACTTAAGATATATAAAGAATCGTAGCTCATCAGATTCACAGATGTGAGAAATATATAGTAGTAACAGTCTTAGCAGTACAATTAAATATAAAAACAGAGAGAGACCCCCAACAGTACATGCAGGCGCAGAGCATTATATTATAGCCAGGTATTGATCAGTATATAATGTAACCAAACTTTCCACATCTTCATGTAGTTTGTCTTTAATTAATTTATACATTTAGTAGATGACAGACTCATAGCAGCAACACTCATTAAATATATGGCATATGTTGTCGTTGTTCTAACCCTAATTGTTTCTCGTGGGTTAAGGTTAATATCAGTTAATTCAGTATTATGATTATATTAAAGATTTGTTTTTCAGGTGAGGTATAGCACCTCCTCTAATTTACATTTCAGTAAAGCTTCAAATAGTTTTTCTACAGAACTGTGTTAGTTCACATCGTGTTTGCTGTATATAAAGTATATTAACATGAGTTCAGGTTGTCTGTGTTTGATCTTTACTGCATCGATGGTTAAAGGATGGGTAGGTAATTCACTTCAGAAACACTTGTTGTTATATCCCATGGAATGCTCTTAACATCCCGATAGCAATGAATATATTAAATGCTTTGACAATAAATCCATAAAAAAATGTCATCTGTGGAAGCCGCGGCGCTGTAAAAAGCACGACCAATCATCTGAGCCGGCCCGGCTAAAATAACTGGATGGCCTACCTGCCTGTCAGCCTTCCATCTGTGCACAAACTTATCTCGTGCCCTCATTGGTCATGTGCGCGTTCGTGTGTGTTGGAGGAGGGGCTCTGTAAGGAAGTGGCAGATTTCTTCCGGCTGTGTATTTTCAAATTCTAGCGCACTGGAGCTGGTTTCTCCAAAATTACCTACCCCACCTTTAAGTTGGCCCAGAAGGTAAAATCATTAAGAAGTTGACACTATTAAGTTGTTTGACGGAAAGGTTCTTACAATAGGGGAGCTGAAAATGCAATATTCGCAACACTGAGCATTATCTACCCCTTAAAAGGCATGTCACATCATGAGTCATGTTTCTAAACTCTTGAGATTTGTTTTTATAGATATATGTTTGAAAGAGTCTGTTTTTATTTCTTTACATTATTAATCTGTGGCTGCATGCAGGAGAGTTTCAGTTGTTTCTCCCCCACGGCTGCCAGCCGGTTTTATTTTCAGCTTGTTATTTTCTATTCTTTATCTTCTATTTTTAGCAATATGAATCAGAGAGGAATTCATAATGAATAATATGTGTTTGTCTAACAGGCCATGGTGGAAACGGCTTTCTGAAGTTCCAGGACTCTGAGGAGATCAGCAACGTGGAGCTGGCCGACGCCTTTGAGCAGATGTGGCAGAAGAGAAGGTAAATAAAGCGGAAAATCACATAGAAGTGTGATGGGCCTCGTGAGGAAACATCCAACACTGTGTTCCCTCTGTTGTAAGTCCTCTTCACTATTTCCTTAATTCCCCTGAGGGCCAATTATCTAGGAAGCAAGTCAACACTCATTTAATGACATGTTATATATATCTCGTCTTTAGGAGCGACTCAGGAAGATATAGGCTGCTTTTATAAGTAGTAATATTGTTCTTGAAATGCAGGGCTCTATACAAAATACACATTTTACAGTGTCACAGACTTTGCTCATACACTACCTTGATTATTAATCAGTGTTTAAATGCATTGTGTTTGTCAATGTTTTGGTGCTAAAAGATTTTGTAGATTTTCAGGAGTAATTTAACTCAAGCTCAAAAATATTGTTTTCAAATACCTCCAGTAGACGTCATTCGGAAACAGTCAGTGTTTGGTGAAATACGTGCAGCTCCATGTCACTGCAACAGGACCCCACACGTTAATATTGTGAAACAGAACTTTTCAAGATGTTTACTTATAATTACGTTCGATCAGGGGCGAACCGTGTCTATCACAACTGGACCTTCTGTAGACACAGAAACCCCCCCCCCCCCCCCCCCCGCTGTTATAATGTCCGTCTTTTCACTGAATTGTCGTCTTGAAAGGGTACTCACAACAATTCCGCAACAACATCATCTTCACCTGTTGCACAACGTTAAAAACAATAAAACGGCATGAATTGCTTCGTGGCATTCATCTAGAATCTAGATCCTCTGTCTCGAGCCAGTTAACTACCGGGCCTTCTAGAGCAGTGGTTCTCAACTGGTGGGTCGCGACCCAAAAGTAGGTCGCGGACCCGTTTCGAGTGGGTCGCGGATGTGTGAGTGAAAAAAAAAAGTTTGGAATTCTTTTTTTTTTTGTTTTTTGGGAAAAAGTCAAACTTTTATTTTGAAGGCCCGATTTTCTAACGCTGTGCATGTAGTCGGCGTTGGACTGGAAGTACCGGGAGAACATAAACGGTTTTGAAAACTTCTGTCCCGTAGTGATCCATCTTCTCAATAAAACATCTTTGCTGATGTTTTTTTTCGAGTCTTCTGGCCAATCAGAATCAAGATTGTTGCCGGAAGTCCCCACGGAGAATAACTGCGGTAGAACTCTTCTTTATAGCATCCAGGGACAACTCTCATTACAAATGAAGCACATAATGAAATATGACCCCGGGTTTGATGATTGACAGGTCACAGAACAATGGGAGCTAATCTACCCTTACCCACAATTTAAAGTAAGTTCACACAGACTATCTCCTCTTTACCTTTTCTCGCAGCAAAGATGTCAGAACAAATGAAAACAAACAATGGCTTAACATATTAAATGTCGGGTTAAATATAGATTTATTTATTTGTTCTCTGAGTGTACCAGAATTGCATAGTTTGTTAGTATTTCTAAAAATCTCCTGGGGGAGAATCCCCCAGACCATGCTGGGGTTGGTTTCAGCATGTGTGGCTTTTTATATAGTTCAGCTTTTGTGATCCATCCATCTGCATTAAACCTTTCTTAAAAAGCATACTTTAGTCTGTGAGAAAGGAATAAGGGATTTATATGCACGTGTACTTCACTTTATTAATACTTGTATGCTGGAAAAGCCGTTATTACAGCACGATTTTTTGCTTGGAATAGATTGAGAAATTCAACATGAGCTTTCATCCACCTGCCATCACTGAATCATAATCATTAGGCATACATGAAGGATACTGAGTTTTTATTTCCTGTATTTTTTGTAATCAGGCTCTACTTCTCCTTCTCTATTTGCGTCACTAATGCGATGATATTCACAACAAATCCCGGACAATAGTTTCAGATAAATCCGCTTATTGTGTGTTTTTTTGTTGTTTTTAATCTCAGACCGCTGGTCTGTATATTCTCCTCCCTGTAGAAGCCCCAACCTTTTAGACCTAATGAAAAGCATCACCGGAAACAGAAGGAATAAACGCAGAATACAAATGATTCCAAAACCTCTATGAAGGGAAGAGGCCTTTTATTGGAATGGCTTGATGTTAGTGTGCTGTGTGTGTGTTGGTGTGTGTTGTGTGTGTGTGTGTGTGTTGTGTGGTGTTTGTGTGGTGTGCTGTTGTGTGTGTGTGTGTGTGTTTGTTGTGTGTGGGTGTGTGTGTGTGGTGTGTGTGTGGTGTGTGTGTGTGTGTGTGTGTGTGTGTGTGGTGTGTGTGTGTGTGTGTGTGTGTGTGTGTGTGTGTGTGGAGACATAATGGAGTCAGTAATTTTAGTTACATGTTGTAAGTAGATAAGTCTCCAGGAAATTGCATGTAAGTCAATTAATGTCCCCTGAAAGTGATGTATAAATGGTGTGTGTGGTTGGGTTTTCTTGGTACCATGGGCAACTGCATTATGTAAACTGGTTTTGGAGGTTTGTGTAGTGCGCCGGGTTTTTTTTCATTGGCGCAAATGGATGAGAGATATCCACGTGTTCTTTCTCACAGTCCATTTGAAGAATGATCCTCTGTGTTGTGTGTGTGTGGTCTCAGTTATAACGAGCTGCCTTCATTCATGACCACCTGTCAGCGCCATGTACGACTTTACTCCCCAAACCTCATGGCTCTGGGCCAGCGTCAGGTCGGAGAGGACTCTCGTCGGTGGGTACCTGCCTCACACAATTACATAAATGAAAAATCATCTCATCAGTTTGTCAGGTTTTGTAATGAAGCCGTGTGGTTTCATAACACATTGCAACTCAAGACTAGGAAGAGCAAATTTTTCATACACACTCTCCCCTTGTAATACAATCTCAAGTGTAAAGAATTGCTTTTGCTAAAGGCACACTAGTCATATCTTTTTCCAAAATACTTTATAAACAAAATGAATCCTTCTGAATAATTTTTGTACGACCTGTTAAGTACGAGTTGGAGATGTCTGTGTGTGCTGCCCTCTGGCTGCGCAATCAAACACATATTACCAACCATTACAATGTTGCTTTCTTACAATTACATGATTATCTAACCAAAAACTGGTTTTAAAACCCTTTTGTGAATGTGACACAGTTTA